GGATATGTTTAGCAAGCTAAACTGCAAAGAAACACGAATGACCAGAAATTAACTGCAAAAGAAGCTGCAGATTTTGAGAAGACAAAAAAAACTGGTAAAGATAATGAAACGAAAACAATAAAGATGGGCTAATAGTTATGGATTTGGGGTCTCTACAACTATCGTAGATAAAAGTAGGGTAAATTATTGGTGGGTTTGTAAGTGACAAAATTAGTACAAAAGTTTCTTATCGATCATTAAATTGGTGAGTGGACTGCTTGATCTGGTTAATGAGTTACAATGCAAAGTAATGCTTACAATCTATATTTCTTGGGAATAAGTTTCCTTGACTAATGTTAATTAACACGTTCTCAGTACAAATCTTCAAAAGAACAAGATAGAATTATACTCCTGGAGACGAGAGAACAGCATATATATTTGTGATTGAAAAAATTAATGGAAAATAAGACTTCCAGCACTAGATTGCATGCACGAAAGTTGAAATTTATTAAATAGATATGTGCTTTGTTCAATTGATATTGATCGATACTAAAGATGACTTGAACCGTGCTGCTATTGAATGACAGTAGAAGTAAACAATGTAATAAAGCAATACTTAAGTACATAAATTGAGGATAACATTGAATAAAGAATGCTATAAGCTAGATAGTTCAAGAATATTCTCATTCAAGATCTGATTTGTGAAGTCCATTTATAAAGAATGCAAATACATTTTTCTGTTTCAGTCATGGAATGGTGATAAATATATCCACAGAAAGTATAATGTCAACAGTAACACTTAAATCATTCAGAGGATACACAGTATTGTTACTGTAATGGAAAAATAAATTATTATATGTCATAATTAATCAAGTTTTTCATTTTGTGTTTGCGAGAGTCAATGGTTGTTACTTAGTGCCTTGTTTTATGCTTCATTTTAGGAGTATATTTTAGTTTCCTGAAAGCTTGGAAGTAGTTGTTTCCATGTAACAAGTTCTCGGCTCAATAAAATGTAGTGCAAAAACTTCCTACATGTTTGTGCCTTCCTTTTATTTAATTTAGTTCTTCTTAGAG